TAAAAATTACATATTAAAAAACTACATCAAAAGATCTACAAAACTAGTAGTGACAATAATATTTTATTTTATCAAATTGCTAACAAAAATAGAGAAAGAAAGTGAATGAAGTTTGACCTTGTGAATAGTAAACAGGCATTATAATTTGGGACGGACGGAGTATTTTATCTAATTAATATACAATATACATTTTATTTAATTAGAAGTCAATGATTGAAAATGATTAACTGAAAAAGTTAAAACTGGACAAATACTACCAGACGGAAGTAGTAATTATTTTGGGGCGAACTAAAAAAAGTATGATGATTAATCAAGACGGAGAGAGTACATAAATGTGCACTCTTTCTTATAATTTCATTTTTAAGATTTCATTGATGAAAAATATTATTAGCAAAAAGGAAAAAAGAAATTTCTTTCAACGTCAAAATGAGCAACGAAATGATCAATTTTTTTTTCCTCCAAAAACATTTCTCCTAATATATCTGTATAGATCAATTTCATAATATACATGTTTTAAATATATGAAAAAAAAGGATGAAGAAATTAAGTGGTATTTTTGTCTTGTAGATGAACACATCTCTATTGTATACTACGTACAATAAATAAAGCATATCTGACCATCTGATGTAATAACTAATAACATAAAAACTCCGGCATTGTACAGAGATTTCTATGAATGAGTCCGGGTAAAATCTGGGGTCAAATTTTGTACAATTCAGTAAATTCACTAGAAATTACTACGGTAAAAATTTAAAAAGAAAAATACAAGTATGAACAAATATGTGGAGGGGAAAAGTCCAAGGTTAATTCCGTAATTTCCATTGCAAAGAAATAAAATTAAATAAAACCTCACTAGTTACCAAACGCGGCAGTACTTTTTTAAAATTTCCCTCTCTTTTCATCGATGAAGGGCAACCGGAAGCTCCCAATTTCTCCGGCGCGGCGGCGCTCATTCGATTTCGCCGCGTTTGGAAGATCTGGTGGAACCGTCGCCGGCGGCGTCGCTGCAAATCGATCTCACCGAGGCCTCGACGTCGGCCGGCTGCGCTAGCTCCTGAGCAGCGCTCCGCCTGGACGATCTCGTCGCGGATCTGGTGGATCCGCCGTCGCCAATCCCGTCCTTGGACTTCTTCCTCCGCGACTTCTTCGGGACGTCTCCGCCAGTCGGGCAATCGGACTTGGCGGCGTCGGCGGCGGTTTCCTTGGACCGGTTTCGCCGGGAATGCCTGGCCTTTGATTTGCTCGGAGAATCGGGATTTTCGGAGGAGGAAGAAGGTGCTTGGCGTCTTGATGACTTGGGCAAATCCGGATCCTTGTCTAGGTTCACTTCACCTCTCGAACTTCTTCTGTTTGAATCTGCACTCCATTTTATGTATGAACACAAACAAAATCAAATTCAAAACCAAATTTGTGCTTTACTATTCGTTGATTTTAGGTTTTTTTTAGTCAAAACGAATTTTAATCACCATTTAATTAGATTGCATATTAATATAATAAAATAATAATATTTAAAGTTTTTGGTATGATTTATGTGTAAATTTAGTTAGTTAAACCAGAAAAAAAATTTTAAGATGTAGTTACTCCGTGTATTTGATTATTCATATGAGTTTTACTTTATTAAAACTAAAACAAAAAATTTCTTTTATAGACCTAAGGCTTATTATGGACCTTCATATCAGCTAAATTAGTACTCTATATTTGTTTACTAGTAAGACAAATATTTTTAAAATTAAAAAAAAATACAAAAAAATTTGAGTGAGAAGGTTATGATAGAACTTCTCAAAAAGTATGTTAAATAAGACTCTTTTTATAGGATGGGTGAAGCATTGTTTTTGTCATTTTATCTGGACTCTTTTATCTGGCATTTAAGTGTGTGTTTCTATGTGTTTATAAGTTAGACAAAACTTTTTATTAGCTGTTTTTAACTTATAAGTCACCTGATGATGTGTTTCTTTGTGCTTATAAACTGTTTATAAGTTTAAAAAAAGTCTTAACTACTTATTTTAATCTAGTTTTTTTATTTGGCTGTTTTGACAAACTAGCTCTCATCATTTATGAATATTCCCAAATGACCTATCTATATCATTTAAGTCATTTTACTTTCCCGAAAAATATTGAACTTATAGGCAGTTTGTAAGTTAAAAACTGCTTCTCAGCAATAAACCAATTAGGACCAGCACACGACAAACACCCCCTAAGCTTCCATCTATTGAAATTTAATCTTCCAAATGGGCTTTTACAAGGAGAGGGAAATGCCAAAGAAGAAGAAAGGCATAATACAATACCTTGAGAAACCCATTTGATCTCTGGGCTCTCCCTTGGCACAGCAGATGGGCCTAAAGGAGCTGACTGAGCCCCTGCTGCTCCTTTGAATTCTTTCATCTGTGATCATACAAACACATTCTTTCAACTTTCATGTCATATATATATATATATATATATATATATATATATATATTACTTTCTTGGTTTTATTGGATAATAAAAATGATTAATTTATTAGGGAAAAAAAATTACCCAGCTTGGATTATCAACAGATTGACCACCCTCCCATCCTATATGGGCAACATGCTTTACATCTGTAGGCAAACCAATCTGTATTTCTGCTTCTTTCTCTTCATCTGCACCATTCATACATCCATAAAAACTCTCATTCATCTTCAATCCCTTTAAACCATTCATATAAATCTTTCATCTAATACCCATGCTTTTATTTTCAAAACGAAAACGGAAAACGCTTCTTTAATCCCAGGAACGACACGAATGTTAACCATCACAGACACTAGTTGTTTGTGAGACAATCATTGTCGATAAGACACTAACCGATGTCAATCTTAGTGTCATTCTTGTTGTGCCTTATTGATTTCATTCGTGATGTGACGGTAGCATGACCCTCTTTATGTATAAAAAAACCGAGGGTTTTGCATCAATAAGATTCATATTTAGTTCATGTGAGATAACTTCAACAAAAAACACACATAAAAATTATTGGACCAAAAAAATAAAAAAATGCCATTGTTGAAGGGTGTGAAATAACTCACCAAATATCTGAGATATATACCTAAGACCTTTAAGAAGGCCCTTCATCTTTGTGGTCATCCTCCACACCTTAATTGATGAGAATGACTTCTTTGCCCTCTGTAATTTTTACTCTTTCTTTAATTTCCTTCTTCTTATTACTTGTTATGATTAGGGAGGGTGATGTTCATGTCTGTGTCTTCAAATCTTACTCTGTTTATCCTTCTTTTTTATCTGGCACATCACAAATTTTAAAGAAAATCAACATTTTTTTGTTGTTGAAAAAGAGATGAAGAAATCTATCAAAAAACAAAAAAATGATAATAATAATTACCAAATCTTTGATGATATGAAGGAATCTGAAAGCACTTCTCTAGAAGAATGAAAGATTGGATTGTTATTGAAGAAAAAAAAAGAGATTTGGACCCAAACCATCCCTCCCAAAGATAGGTTTGACTCATCTTCTGAATCTATGGAAACCAAAATGATGTTAATGCCATTGTGTTTGTTAAATTCAATGGCTAAGCATTCTAGGCTCTTCATGCCCATTCATCTCAACCAGAAGTAGATAGAATTTTTAGGAGGTAAATAAGTTGTGTAGTACATAATATAATCACTATAATAAAAAACATGATAAATGTATTACTCACTCCCTCCCATAAATACTCCTCTTTCTCAAGTCTTTTTATGGGACCCATAAAAAGAGTCGCGTTTGAACGAAAAAAAATATCATTTTTATCATACATTATTTGATTTTTTTTAATGATAATATGATGTCCAAACAGTTTAAATGCGCTAGATTTGTTCGAACTGACTACTAAATTTTATTGCTTTTAATAATAGTACCTTATTTTAAAAAAATTAAAAAAAATGTACATTCAAAAATTGGACTCTTTCTACAAGACATGTGAAGTACTATGTAGGTCATGGAACTGTGTAAGTGGGGTGTAAGTGGGGAGATATGTGTTACCCGTGTAAACGGTGTAACGAATCGTTGTGCCATGGCGAGAAACATGGAGATTATGTTGCACTACAACAACGTAAAGTCACTCGAACTAATGCAACCATGAATGTCAATTAGGCTCTGTTCTTTTCGGTTGAAAAAATTTACTTCCAACTTTTTACAGTTTCTTCCAATAATGACTTTATAAAAATGTATTTACATATGATGACTATATAATAATATTATAAATCCAAATTTATAACATAGCACCTCAAACACGGACAAAATGAATTCTTTTTTTATATTCAAGATTAGTTTTCTTACATATTTATTTGAGTGATCATTTATAATATAGAAACTCTCAAATGCCACAAAGATGATTTTTTATTCGAATCTGATTCTTTTGCACTTAAAATTGGCTGATTTTTTCTTAACAATATATTACTTGTAATTCATTTTCACTGGCATGATCAATGAAAAAAGTAAATTGCATCACGTCGGCAATTTCATAGCTTTGTGATAACCTTAGTGTATAAAGTGTAGTATAAGACTATTTTTGTTTAATCGAACACACATTGAATTATTTATGTCAATGTCCTATTTTTAACATTAATTAAAAATACGATTCCACATGTCCTATTTTTACAATTTGTGTCGGAGACATATGTTAAGAAAGAAAAAATCGTACCAGTGTAACTGATACTGAGACACGCCAAGACAAGGCAAGCGAGCGGTCATAGAGACACGCCCGCCCTTGTATCTCTATCTCTCTGAAGAGAAAAAGTGTGGGCAAAGTTGGTACAAATGTGGAGTACTATTACATGATTCATTACACCATAAGTCCAAATTTAAATCACCTATTTCATTTTACCATGTTTGACTAGAGTTATTTTCAATACAATTTGATTAAGAATTAGATCGGAATTAAAAAAAATATACATCATAAGCTCTATGCAACAAGAGTTGACATCACCATATTATCTTATCAAATGACTAACGAAAATATAAAAAAAAGTGAATAAACTTTGACCATGTGAATAATAAACAGACAACTTCATTTTGGAAAGGAGTATTTTATACGGAGTACTCCATATAGATTCCATATATAGTAACAAGAACATAATGCAAAAAAAAAAGGAACAACATAAACAGGGTGAAAAAAAGAGGCAGACTCTGCTTTGATCCATCAGTGTGCATTAATGGCTCTTTGTAGACCTGTGTGGTATTACTGGTAAAATAATAAGCATCTCTCTCTCTCTATCTTTCAGGCTTTAAGTTCATTCATTTTAACACTCTTCTGCAAGTAGGAAAGAGATGGCATAAGTATATAACCATTTGGCGGGGCCCGTTTGATGGACGAAGTTGGGTTGATATGGAATGTGTTCTGATATCAAATCCAAACCATGCTTATGACTCACGAAGATATCAGAACCCATATCTATTGTGCTCATCAAATAGACCCGTGATTTTCTTCACTAAGGAAGTTGTGGTTGACAAAACAAACTTATAATAAGCTAATTAAGTAACTAGTTGCGTTAGCCTCTACCTTAGCAAAATGGACAAATTGTTTGGGTTACCAATCCGTTGGTAATTCGCTAACCAGCTTTTGGTAAACGAATGATGAGTTAATAGATTTTTGTTGTTTTTGTAAATTTTTTTGCGTTTGAGTATATAATTCTTGTTTTCAGTTGATAAATCTAAGTCGTGTAGTGAGTGCTCCTGCCTTAATCTCTGAAACTTTAGTAAGATTTGTCCAAGAAAAGGTGAGAAATATTACCAAAAATGTGTGGTTCTCTTCGAGGAAGGGTGAAAATGTTTTGCAGAAGTTCTCAATGTCGATATTATTAACAGCAGCAGTCCCACCAATGACTTCCATAAATTTTTTCCTCTCGGGAGCAAGCTTCATTGCAACCTGAAAAAAACATTTCAGAAAATTAGTAAGGCATTAAGGTCCATTTGGGAAATGGGAAGGGGAAAAATTATTTCCAGGGATCATTTTTTTCATTTTTAAGTGTTTGCCTGTTCTAGAAAATAGGAGCCAACAAATAATGATTTCCAAAGTCAACAGAAAATGAGCCTCATTCATAGGAAAACAATTTCTTTTTTTTTGGCAGAAGACATTTTTCACTCTTTTCCAACTCCTAAGGTCAAAGCTCACCACATTTTTTCCAAACATCCAGCCAAACACCAGAAGTCATTTCTCAATACTCATTTTTGAGAAACCATTTTTCCATCTTTCCAAACAGACCGTAAATGGAAACTAACATATTGGGGGGGGGGGGTTAAATCCGTTAATACCGTAAAAGCCGAACTAGCAAACCAGCCATGAAATTTTTTCAGTGTTTCGGAATATGAATTTTGGCAAGCTTCTGTCATAGTCCATTCGGCATGATCTAATAAATTCCGGAACAGTTTCACTAAGAAATCCATTGCCCTGAAGAAGTTATAATGCACTGTTCTTAAAAGAATCAAGAATCATGAAAACCAGATGGATCCATAAAAGACGCTAAAAGAAAGTGGAAAACTACTGCAAATCTGTGAGACCTGGTTAACCAAAGAAGGCCATTAGTGCAACTAGATGAACCGGTTGCTGTCTTTGCTTCAACTTCTTCTTTTACAATGCTATGTAAAGCCGCATACTTCTTAGGATCTTTTTTGAAATTTTCCTCCAGCCTCTAAAAATAGGATAACCATAGGTGGCAAAAGTTGGGACATGAAAATATATACAGAGTAATAGATGAAGGTTTGAAGTGTTTAACAACTAATCGTAGAAAATAGAACAAACCTTTATATTTCCACCAATATCAGTTTTCACAATTGCCATGGCTGCACCAAACTTGTCTGGCATTTGCATAAATTAAAAGTGGTGGAAAACAATCATTACCCAACAAAAAAACAAAAAAAAAGCTCTAGTTCTACACACATTTAAGGAAGATCCATCTAATCCTAACTGTATCTATCAATGCCAAGTTTTTTTTTTGCAAAAAGAGAACTAGCTCATATCTAAACAAACAACTATGAAGGCTATTTGACAACTTATGTCGGACATTTCTAACAAGGTAGTTTATTGCCAATGGAGCTAAAAGAGTCATTATTGGTCATAGTGTAGCTTGCACATTCAAATTCCTTTGTTTCTTACTTTCGATGAAGTTTTGGGTAGTCAATTCAGCAATGCATCAAGGGTCCGCTTATCTATTCTCTTACAAGGGTAAGGTTGGGTATATTTGTATTTTGGTGAAACGGATGCGCGCTTCGTGTCTTCCATTACACTTTCCTAGAGTGAAATTGTATGGCAAAAAACTCAAATCAATAATGTTGACAGTGTCAAGAAAGATCTATAAGTTGATACCGATAACAGGCAAGATCAGCTTGCAAACTTCTAAGAATGGTTCGGTAAGCATTTCTCCATTCTCTGATTTTATGTGTTCCATTTTTTCTAAAGCAGGGGTGAATATAGTGCCTTCATTGCCTTGAGTGCCTTCCATCCTCAAACCTTAACTGCACAAAGCGCCCAAAATTCAAAAATAAATAAAAATTTTGGTCTGGATCAATTAGGTGAGTTGTTCTTTCATGGTCCTAAGGTCCACATGAAAAATGTGAACCTTCTCAAACTTTTTATGGGCCGGCAAGTGGATATTTTCTTATTTCCAAAAGGCCCAAATCTTTTATAATATCAAGGCACTAAGGTCCATAAAATAAACATGGACCTTAGGACCACGTAAGAATTTGCCCAATTTTTTAGGTGGGTATGTAGACAAACGTCACAAAACAAAGACATAATTTTAGAATAAATTCAATGTAACTATATGCTACTCCATTTGTACAACAAATAAACTACACACTTTATTTTTGGGCATCTCAAAATAAAGTTCACACATCCTAATATAAGGAACATGTGGCTCACATTCTCTCTTCTAAGCTCTAAACAAAAATCTCTCTTTTAAAAAGACATCTTTACTTAATAGGAACTCCTAATATACTAAAGCTGGATTCGTAAAACCCACAAAAACACAGCTGAATCATTCTGTTGAAAAAAAGGTATAGAATCGCAAGATTGATAGTAAAAAAACACTATAAATTTATGCTAATATCAAAGCAAATACATATGTGAGACGGAAACATGAGATCTGGAAAGCATGGTTCAATACACATCTTCGAAAATATAGGGCTTATGGAAGATCTGTAGGGTACCCTGTTTCAGGGTCTGAATTATGAGCATAGATCTAAACAATTTATTGATGATAACTTCAATCCCTGAATAATTTAATCAATGCGTTAGCAGTATTTGATAAAGATTGGAAGTGGAAGCAGATAACAATGGAGATGGATTAGGCAGGGGGTGAATACCTGGAGCTGGAAAGTAAGATGGAAATGGAAGAATGGGTGAATTGGACTCTATAACAGATTGCCACAGAGGAAGAGAGAGATACTTGAGCCAATCACGGCAGAGTTTTTACCCCCAAATTGTCAACTTTTATTTTTTGAGCAAATGACTATGGTAAATTTTTCAAACTTCCACAGTTGGCATCGGGCGTAAGAGATTAGCGTTGGCGTTTTGAAAGACTGTCTGACGGTAGCTTTTAGCGTTAGCGTTTTCCGAATTAATCTACACCGTTAATAATTTATCCAAAACGCTAACGCTAATTGAAAACGTTCTTTCCAAACAAGGCCGAGTCTGTTTGAAAATAGCGTTTGTGATTAGCGTCAGCGTTTTGAATAAAATTTTAACGGTGCAGATTACTTTGAAAAATGCTAAACACTACCCGTAGATAACATTTTCAAAACGCTAACGTTAATCTCTAACGTTATTTCCAAACATGTCTATTATAGATATGATCATGGTAAGAAGTAAGAACCTACCCTTACCTTACCTACTTCTCCGATGGAGGAAAATCATAGATAATTATTTTTATGTTTGTATACAGTGATGATGTAATTATTCATAAACTGTACTGTATTTTAAAAAACTCTTTCTTCCACGTATGTCCATCCCGTGCAAAAATTTTCAATGTTTGACTTGATACAAAGATTTTTAAAAAATAAAATTAATAATTGAAAATAATATAAATGTGAGGGGGGGGGGGGGANTAAAATGAAAAGTATCTTGTACAATATTTTGGCCGAGACAAACAAATTACAAAATACTAAAGTACGAAACTTTTTTGTAGAACAGAAAAAATATTATTAGTTCAGATTAGGGATGACAATTCAACCCGAACCGGAGCTTAACCGGCCCGACCCGACCACTAAAATATCCGAACCCGAACCGAAAATAAAATAATCCGAACCCGACCCGAAATTTTTTACCCGAACCCGACATCGGGTCGGGTGTGAGTTTATTTATTATTTTACCCGACCCGACTGGAACCCGACCTGACTCAAATCCAAGTATTTTATAACATAAAAGCCTATCTATGGATATAATGAGCACTCCATATAATCTCTTGACAAAGTGCTGCTATATTAAGTATCTCTTTTAAAATCATTTTTATAATTTCGTAATAAGAAATGAGACACAAAAAATTAGATTTAATCTTTTTAAATTTATTGGGGTACGCCGAATTGATTATTGGTTAAAAGTCGGGTTCGGGTTTCAGGTCGGATTGGGTTTTGGCTTAAAAGTCGGGTTTCGGGTCGGGTTCAGATTTTGGTTTTAAAAGTCGGGTCGTGTTCGGGTATAGTACTATTTGACCCGAACCCGACCCGTTGCCACCCCTAGTTCTGAAACAGAATTACTTCTAATATTTTCTATTGGTGCTAAATTAACTTAACATTGTTTTTTGATCAAACTATTTCGTTTGTACTCCCTTGATTTGAGACAAGGTTTCATCTTTTATTTGACATGAAAATTAAGGAAAGTAAAAGTTATGGGGTTGAAGATATAGAATATACTGTCTCCGTCTTAGAAAAGTTTTCTTGTTTTGTCTATTTTAGTTATACAGTAACACTCTTTAATCATAAATTAAATATAATCTAAACAAAAAAAATCTACTTGAATAAAAGTAAAAATATATGAAAATACCAAAATATAAGTCTTAAGTTTTTTAAGACCAAAATATAAATATAGTGAGACTGTAATGTAAGTGTACGCATTTGAACATAATTTGAATAAAAAGAAATCTCTTAGTATAAGATTAAAAAGCGATGACAGTGTGAATAGTCAATTGTCAGTCATGACGACAGATGACGTGGCAGTTGCAGTGAGCCAGTGTGAGCTTTTATTTTGGTTTTTTAAAGACCTAAGACTTTTATTTTTGTATTTTTATACTACATCTATCCCAAAATGTTCTACACTTCACGTAATTTTAAATTTCTATGGTATGTTTGGAAACATTGATTTGGATTTCAAATCCGGATTTGGCTTAAATTCCATGTTTGGGAAACTTAAGCATTTAGAATTTGGATTTGAATCAAATTCTTTACATTCAAAACAAAGCTTAATTTGAAATCCATGCACCTCTTCTTGTCATTTGAAATTCAGGATTTTAAATTTTGAAATTGAAATGCATGAATTGAAATGAAATGATAGTTGTCAAACACTACCTTAATTCATTTTATTTAAAAGTTGATATTATAAAAATTAAACATAAATTTATACTCCATATATTTCAAAATTACGTCAAATATTCTATAAAATAAAAAAAGTGATAGAATATTTTATTTTATCAAATAATCAATCAAAACGCACAATTACACAAATAAGTAAAAATTTTCTACTATTAAATACTCCTGATAAACCTTTTTTTTACTCGTTCTTTTAGTCTTTCCTACTCTTCGTCTTCTTCACTTGATCACCAATATCAAACCCACAGAGAACCAGTGTGCCTTCGATAACCAAGAAACGCATACAGTATAGAAAAGCGGAAGCTGTTGAATTGGATTTCCTTGAAGGGTATTTTCATTTTCCGTATCGAGTATGAATTTATTCTCCAAGAAACCCACGGCCAAAGGTCAGTCTTCTTCATCTCGCTGCGTCTGTATTCAAATTTCGGGTTTCAGTGAAGAACTTGTTCGCTTCTGTGCCCCCTCCACTATTGATTCGTTTCAGAACACGGGATCAATGAATCCAATCTCACATCCTATTTTGGTGATTTGAAATTTGAAGTATTTTATGAATTTGTCGGGATTGATCGCTGTCCAATTTGTTGTCTGTTTTTGTTCTGAAATTGGATTTCGATGAGAACAAGATTTTGTTTTTTATATTAAAAATTTAACATAATGTTTATTGCAATGCAGAGGTGCTTCGAGACAGTAGAAGAGAAATGACCAATGCCACTAGAGGTTTGTGTTTTTCCCAAGATGTGTGCTGAACGTCCCTCTAAGGCTCTAATCCATGGAGTATAGAAGCTATTTCTGAGACAACCCCAAAGACATCTTTAAAAAGGGTGAAACCCATCCCTAGTTTTTCCAATGACCAGTCGAACAGTTACCCGGGAGAAGTAAATTGAGCTATTATTAGTATGACAAATAAGGAGTGGGTTCTGTCCCCATTGAATACGCATGGTTGTCCTTCGTTTCCCTTGCCAGGAGTCGAACCCGGAGATTAGTACATTACCCCATTTTGCACCCTTTCTTTGCCATCTAAGCTACGCGTCACACGCATCTAGATTCTAGAACACTTGCGCATGGCCACTACGTGTACTCTACAACCCTAACAAACCACCAACCATATTGTGATTGATTAGTTAGTTTCATTCATAGTGTTATAAACTCATGTGTTTTTTTCTATGCGGTAATGCTTCTAATGCTGCAAAACACCGACAGATATGTCTTGCTTATCGTGTTGATGTGTTTTTGCTTGGTCAAAACTTCCTTGTACTGATGCCTAATGAGTGGTGGTCTATGACTATGATGCAGGAATAGAGAAGGAAATTTCTGCTTTGCAGTTGGAGGTATTTTCATTTAATTCATATTCCCTCCGTCCCAAAGTGATTTTTACGTGTGAAAATGGCACGGATAATAAGAGTGAAAAGAAAAGTATCTAAATGTCCATGCCTTGTTTTTGAATTTTGAGTTCAGTAAAAGTGAAGTAAATGGCTCTCTTTTATTCTATGCTCAAAGATCATTATTAGATGTTTTAGTCTTAGAGAATATGATTTGGTTACTGGTGAGACAGGAGAAGAAGCTTGTTGCTGAGATCAAGAGAACAGCTAAAACTGGAAATGAGGTGTGTAGTTTTGACGGTAGGGGTGTTTTGAGATTTGAAATCCAAGAACTACAACTGAAAGTTGAAACTTTAATTTGATATTTAATTTCTTCGTTTTCAGGCAGCGACTAAGATCCTAGCACACCAGCTAATCAGGCTAAGACAACAAATTGCTAGCCTGCAAGGTAGTCGAGCTCAGGTGAGAGGCATATCGATTCACACACAGGCAATGCATGCCCAAACTTCAGTTGCTGCAGGCATGAAAGGTGCCACTAAAGCTATGACAGCCATGAATAAGGTTAGATGACCGACCGGTTTAAGATAACCCCTTTTTCCTTTTCTCGCTTCTGAATGTACAAAACGTGCCATACTCACGTGTTTGTATTTTTTATTTTATTTTGTTGACTTAGTCCTTATAAATCAAATTTGCAGCAAATGGCTCCAGCAAAACAGGCAAAAGTGATTCAAGATTTCCAGAAACAATCAGCTCACATGGACATGATTGTAAGAAACTATACTTCCTCTGTCATACCGGATATTGAATGGCTGGAAAACTAAAACATATGAAAAAATGGTTTCATATTCTTTGCAGACTGAAATGATGTCAGATGCCATAGATGATGCTTTGGACAATGATGAAGCTGAAGACGAGACAGAAGAATTGACAAACCAGGTATCTTTATTTTTTTTTTTAAAAAAAAGAAAAAAGCGCTGGTTCTGGAGTGAATATGAGTAATTGATTAAATTCTCTGTGTATTTTTTCCAACTCTAGCTCAAAGAGTCATTATTGACAACATTTTAGCTTCTGGCAAATAATGGACTAAACTAAAATGACACATTAAACTTTCTTTGCTTCTTACTTTCTATGACATTTTGGGTAGTAGATGCAACAATGCATCAAGGGTCTTTTTATTTCTCAATGTTTTCTCACAAAATACTTAATTTGACTTCCATAGGTTCTTGATGAAATTGGTGTTGATATTGCTTCACAGGTGAGTTTTTACAATTTGCAATAATTCTTTTCCTCTATTGTGTATTTTGAGGGCGTTTTCAGTTAAGATTGTATCAATCTGATTCTAAGCATCCAAATCAAACATGCCCTAAATGGTATTTAGAATTAGTTCTTCGAATCACGGATGAGTTATATCTTAAATTACCACGACCCTAACATCACTTCCAAAAAAATTTCTACACCCTAAAAACTGTTTTTTATTGATTACTTCGTATTTCTACTGTCTGAAGCTAACAGTTAACAAAACCAGTTTTTACCTAATGTGTATGCTCAACAGTTATCAGCAGCTCCTAAAGGGAAAATTTCCGGGAAGAAGACCGAGGAGAGCAGTGGGTAATATTCTTATTTCTCGATTAATTGCCCCCTCTGTCCGGATTTAATTGTCAACTTTCAAAAAAACTCATTTTAGTTCCAGATAAATGAAAAAAAAAACAAGAAAGTGAACAACTAAATACGGACAGATAAAAGGAGTACATGCCGAGGAAAGAATTGGTCCTAAATTTTCTCATTTTGATAACGCATTCTCTTGTTGACAGCTCGTCGGGAATAGATGAACTGGAGAAGAGATTGGCTGCCCTTAAAAATCCGTAGGTCGTGCAATGCGCTCGGTTCCTACTGTTTTTAGCATCATTTTGCTACAATTCTATGTACATTCCCCTCCCACCGCCCCAAAACTTTCACTGTTTGTGATACATGCGTCATACAACGGATGACATCAAGATTGATACCGCTATTATTTTGCAGACAATGATTTCTCATCGTCGTTATCTTGTCTCTGATGGTGTTAACCTCACTGTCATTCCTAGGGTTAAAGTAGCATTTTCCTTGATATAGGAAGTATAGGAATAAGACTAGTCATTTGGCTCTTTGAAATTAGGATTCTTGATTTTTTTAGAAAAGATTTTATGCTGCAATAAGAATAATATGGTTCTATGGATTTACCTCAAGATGCTCGCATCTTATTACTTTACTCTAGCACATTAGAAATACTTTTCTAACTTAGTTTAATTCAAAAAAAAAAGTCAAATTGAACATGTTATATTACTTCTTCCATCTTAATTCAATTTGCTTGTTTCCCCGCGTCCCACTATTTTTGTCTCATTCACTATTTCCAAGATCAAACTAAGGGGCTTGTTTGTTTCAGTCTCTTAATGGTTCAAATGTCTAAATGGTTCAGCACTTAATGGTTCAGACTGTTTGTTTCAGCCTGTTAATGGTTCAGATGTCTGAATAGTTCAGACATTTGCCTCTAAATGGTTAAATATTATACAGAGTCTGAATGGTTAAGACCTCTTATCTGAATTGATCAGACATTTGCCTCTGAATAGTTAAGCAATATATTAGCTCTTAATGGTTCAGACCTCTTACTGGTTCAGCACTTAATGATTCAGACCTCTTACTGGTTCAGGACTTACCTATTCAGAAGTTGCCAAACAGGCTTTAAATCTATTTTCTTGTCTTATTCTCATTTATTATTTGTCATCTCTTGTATTATAAAACTTTTAACGCAATTAATAAAAAATAATTTTTGCGTTCAAAATTCTACACCGATAATTAGATAAATTTCATTAAAAAAAAGTTTAATTGGAACATTGTAAATTGAAAAAGGGACAAATAGTATGACAATAGTATTTCCATGGTCGAAATGTTACTTTTTTGTCTTTTTATTACTCCCTCTGTCCCATTTTAAATTACATGTTTGCTTTTTTTCTCCGTTCCAAAATAAGTTACATGTTACTTGTTATCGTAAACTTTTAAAAGTAAAATACCTAAACTTCCTTAATATAAGTCACTCTTTTTCACCTTATCTTTTCATTGATCATCACCCCTCTTAAAAAGTAATGACAATTTTAGAAAATCAACTATTTTTTCTCTTTTTTAAATATGCTCAAAAGTCAAAACAGACGATTTAAATCGGGACGGAGGAAGTACTTATTTAATAAAATTGTATGTTCACATCAATTTTTAAATAAATTAAATTATAAATGATTTTAATCAAACATTATAGCCAATAATGAACAATTTAAGTTGGAAGAATCTCCACTAAATTTCTCTGCAAAAAAGGAGAAAATACTGTGGAGCACTAAGCCCTTCCGATAGTGATCAATTCGGGGTAATGAGCAATTAGAAAAATACATTTTTTATATAATATACTCATTACATTTATCATGCAAAAAGATTACGCAATGTTTTTATAAAATATACTCAATGGTTAAGGTGGACGTAAGATCCAAGTATTTTTTGAGGGGTGATCTTACACCAATTGATTTAATGCAACATTATTGCACTAATTCAATCAGAGTACCGGCGAGCTACGGGTCTCCGATCGTAAAATTGATTGTTCTTACGCTCCCTTATCCCCTTTACCCGGCTCGTCCATTATGCACTCCCGCACCTCTCCAATCGTACCAATCAAACTTTGAGTATAAAAATAACCATAAAGCAACAAAAATTTGGATGGTGCAATTAGAGGAGTGTGAAGGTGCAGAAGGGACATGCCAGGTATGGGACATTTAACTCAAAAGTTAAAGAGAGTAAGAACGATCGATTTTACGACCAAGGCTAAAGAGAGTAAGAACAATTGATTTTACAATCAAAAACTGTACGTGCTCTAATTGAATTGGTATAACAATCTTACACCTATAAACTGATGTAAGATTATCACCCTTACCATACTCATTATATAAGCCCACCAAAGAAGCAATCATATTCACTATATTCACTATATTCCCTTCTAATTTTTATTTAATTAATAATCAAAACTTGTCAATTTCGACTTGAAAAAAACAAACAAATACACTAGAGAGTGTACATTCCCTAAAAGGGCAAAATAAATTCATTTTAAAGAGTGACTTATTACAGTTACTACTATATATCATATCCCTTGCACTTCACTCATCGCCTTCTTCGCTGAGAGTCCGACGACTCGGCCGTGGCGATAAACTCCAGAAAACAACAAAACCCCAAAAACAGTTTATTCAAGGAACTGATACCAGATGATGGAAAGCATCAGTCATACATGGAACAACAGGATACCTTGCATTCTCATCTGTATGTCTGTCACTTTCTGATGGCGAGGAACTCGAAGCTCCTAAAAGGGTCATCCCGGGTGCCCTTAACGGTCCGGGACAATGATGACGGCTTCTTGGGTTCAGTCCCCTGCTGAGGCCTGTACATGGTGGTAGTGGCGGTGGACAGGCGGCCAGCGGTAGAGGTTATTCTGCTCGGGCGACCGTCCGTTGTTGCTTCAGAAGAGTTGGGTCTGCTGCTTGAAATTGTGGCTCTTTTTGATGATAAGATGGCATTTCGCGAGGCTGTTTGCTGCAGATGGACAATGATGATAGAGTATTAATGTACTTGACCACGTCGCACATGTAGGGTAGGCAATTCTTTAAATAAGGCTCGCAAGGTCGTTTCCGGGGACAAAAATGGGTTTTCCGATAAAATATGTAATACCCAGAAGGTGTGTGTGTGTGTACACGCATGAGTTGGCTATTTTGGCTCCAAAGTCAACTAAACTTGGGGGATCCAATTGCCAGGGGTGGGGGGAAAGTTCAAGTCGGGCCGGGGTGGGGGGTTTACCGGGGTAGGAACCATCACTTTTTTAAAAGGATCACTGAGGTGTCCAGTGGAATTGGAAGCTCTCCGTTTATATATAATCATAACAAAATTTTCTTCTCGTTATGACTTGGCATGCTTATTAAGAAAAAGAAAGGGGAAAAGAAAAAGTAGCAGCAATTTTACCAAATCTCTAGAGGAAGGCACGTCCTCCGATCTTTGTCTTGAGTGTTCAACGTGGCGGCCAAAAGCTGAGGCATTTCTCCTTGCAACTGCCTCAGCAGCACGTAGAGCATCTTGCCCCACTGCATCAAAAACGTCGCAATGATCACAAATGCCAACATAAGATAATTTTGTGAACATTTCCTTTACTTTAAGAGAAAAATACCAGATCTTCTTTCTACTTTTTCAGGTGGCCGGGCATTTACTATTGCACCCCCAGTAGAAATCTGACAAAAAAGAAGAAGAAATAAAGATGATATCAGGTAACCAAAAAAATAAGTAGACTAGAAGAAAACAGTCTCAGGAATCATCAGTACGAAAATAGTTTCAGAAGCACCGTACTCGGCCTCTTGAACTTGCACCAATCTGAGGATACTTCAAAATTGTCCAATCGAAAACAAAGTCAAATTGATAACCTGCAAAAGCCAAAAGGTTAAAATGCAACAGAGAGACTATGAACACATACCCAATGCTATAACAACGTGCATTCCAGTTTCACAAGTTACCTTCACGGATAAACAAGTCTTTAAAAAGACCCTTAAGATAAGAATAATCTGGTTTGGATTCAAAACGTAATGATCGGCAATACTTAAAGTACGTTGCAAACTCGGTAGGAAATGACTTGCACAACACCTGAAGTGCAGAATTTGATCATGTGTAAATCTTTTTGTAGCAAGTAACAGAATATAGTGGGCTCCAATTTTATCTGTTCGGTTACCTCTATTGGTGTAAGCATTTTCTTTTCGCTGATTTTATCATATTTCTGTTTTTTGGTACCAGCTCTTAATCCCTGCCATGGAAGGCTGTTCCGCAAAAAAAATCATATTAAGTATCCAAAAAGACATTTTATTGCAGAGTATGTTAATTTGATACAAATCCGGGCTGATATAAACTAGAATTAGTATCAAGAGATCATACCTTCCTCTGAGGAAGTACATAAGCACAAAACCCAGAGATTCCAAGTCGTCTCTTCTGCTTTGTTCTATTGCAAATAAAGAAGAGTTTCTCAATAAATTTCTAAGTAATTCTGAAACCACACACACACAAACACACAAATTGATATACGGAGTACGAAGTATTATGAAGTAACTCACCAACACCAAGGTGCGTGTTGACACTAGCATAACGAGCTGTGCCTGTCAAATTCTTGTTTTCCCTGAGGGAAAGAAATAGAAAAACCCCATTTCAGAGCTTGTGAAGAAGATTGTACATCTTTAATGTGAGGATGGGAGAAGAATACTGAGACAATTTCTCTTTTACTACGCCAATAAAACCAAATTCAAGATGAAGTATCTAAAGATAAAATCCAGTGAAGTGCCGCTACCTGTAAGGTATGTGCTTATGAGTCTGAAAATCCCTATACTTTTTAGCAAGGCCATAATCAATGATATAGACCTGCAGCATTTTTTCTATTAAGGTTAAGATCATAGAAATTTAGACCATACAACTCGGCTAATAAAAGCGGTGTACATGGGTTCCATTTTCCACTTGATGCTATTATGCACCACATTTATGAGTCATTAAGCCATCATATATTTCTTAGATAACAGAAGCCAGGTGCCTTTTGTTCATTGTTCAATCTCTTCTACTATCCTTTACTAACCATTAGTGAAAAGTCATCACTCTTAGTAACTAACAATCATTACTCACAATTAACAAATACTTCGTAAATAATACATCCCCCCCCCAAAATGTGGTTGCAAAAGGTTCAAGTGTTTCTTTTACAAGTTATGAAAGATCACTTGTACCACTAAAAGTTGTCTCTGGAATTGTTTAGAGTTATTGACAAAACTTGCATGCAGCTTGGCTTTACAGGTATTTTCCATAGTAAGTCTTGGCCTTTAATACCGGCTCTTTTTTGCGGACAAGTTCCTCAAGCAGGACTCTTTTGAGAATCAATTATGTGTCCATTTTTTAAATTAAATCAGATAACAAATGATGAAGGGCTACCTGGTTTGCTTTGCGACCTAGGCCCATCAAGAAATTGTCCGGTTTTATATCACGGTGTAGAAGACCTCTGGCATGCATGTACTCCACTCTATTAAGCTGAGAAAATGATATAATAGACAATCACCACATCAGCTACCGAACATAGTCACAAACGAGAAGACACTAGAGTTTGCACCACATTTTAAATGAATAGTAACTACTTACTAATTGATCCGCTAGCATTAAAACGGTTTTCAGAGAGAACTTCCTATTGCAGTAGTTGAAGAGATCCTCCAGACTTGGACCAAGGAGATCAATGACCATAACATTGTATTCGGGCTCAACTCCGTACCACTTAAGGTTGGGAATACCCGCTTCATAACAGAAAGAATATTTTAAACATAGTCACACAAACTAAATACTGTTTCAAGATACATTAACTTGTAGAAAAAAAATGAGATGGCAATAACCAGAGGAACAGTGTTGGTTGCAATTACACATCCAGGATACCAAGAGAGAAGAAAATGACATTGCAAACGTTTAATGGTGAAAAGAAGATCAGCAAAATAGAGTATAAGAGCTTACTTCCTCCTTGGAGAAGCATATAAATCCTAGATTCGTAATGAAGTTGTGGGTGTCCCGTCTTCACCGATTCCTGGCAATTGCAAAAGTAAAACAACAAATTCTATGAGTTACTCCTGGCAATAGCACTTCTATGATACAAAATCAACTCAGGGAAATAATCGAACAATCTAATGTCATTCTGCAACTCATTTCTGGCAAACGAGCAAAGAAACAAGCATACCAGTTTGATGGCAACTTCTTCACCAGTTTGTAAATTGGAACCTGTGTCAGTTAACCACAAAGAAGCCCAGGAATCATTATAGCATCCAAACAATCAACGGGCAATTACTAATCAACGGGAAATGAAAACTTCAACTGAATGATTGAAAAAAATACAATATTTCCAAATATAATAAATCAAATCAGAAGAAACCAAATAAAAAAATGCTAAATTTTGGGGGCATACCTAAAAAAAGCTCCCCAAAAGACCCACTCCCGATCTTCCTCCCCATCTTAAACTTTCCATCGATAACATGATCCATGGCGATTTAGCCAACACCAAATTATTATCAATTTATACACCACAAAAAGCCAATTCCAAGAAACTCAACTTTCAATAAGATTTATTTAGTGTAAAAAAGAAAGAAAGAAAGAAAGAAAAAGAACCGTGCTCCAATACACGGAAAATCAAAACCTGAAAAGATCGAACTTCATCGGTACACTATACAAAAAAAATCCGCAAAAACCCTGAATTTTATTCATTAAAGTATGACAGATTTTCATCGCCCGAGGAGAAAAACGAGCCGAATCTACACTGAACGAAACCCTAATTAGCCGCATCAACGATCGACATTGATCAGATAAAATTAGTCAATGGTCGGAGCGATGAATTCTACAGATTAAAGACATATACTGTGCGTCTGCGTTCATCAAAGAGATGAATCAGAGAACTGCGAGACACAACAAGAAAAACAAAACCTCGTAAGGGTCAGAAGAAACAGACAACAGAGCGAAGATTGAGGGGAGACGAAAGGGGGGAAAGCCGATTTTCAGAAAACGAGAAAAGAAAAGGAAAAAGAAGAAAAAGAAACTGTTTTCGGGCGACAATGATGGTGGGGAGGGCCAGGGCGATGAGAAATGAAGCATGATCCTACTACATCATTCCTTCTTTCTCCATTAATGGGAATAAAAGAAAAAATTGAATAAAAGTTGGAAATTGTTAAAAAAAAATAGTGTTAACAATCACTCAATTAAATACTCCCTTCGTCCTGGAGTATTTGTCCACTTTTGATTTTTTTGGTTAAAATTGATAAATTTTGATACAAAACTAGTTTTATTAGATTTTTTATATCAAATATTTTCAAAATATTATTTTATCTAATTAATATACAATATATATTTTATTTAATTATAGATCAAAGTTTTAAAATAGTTGACCGAAAAAAGTCAAAACTGGACAAATACTCAGGGACGGAGATAGTATAATTAATGAAATACATATATAAGTGAAATAATTTTGAATAAAAGAGGAATTATTTTTTTATGTTTGATGTGATATATTATAAATTCAAACATACTCCGTATAATGTTACTCGTATTATATGTTCCCTGTGTCTCAAATTAATGTTCACAATTTGACTTTATACAAAATTTAAAAAAAAAATAAAATTATATGATTAAAGTGATGTAGATGAGAGAGAAAAAATGAGCCACATAAAGCTTGGCAAAAAAAGGAAAGTGAAAGATTAATTTAAGATAACCCAAAAAGAAAATAAAGAAGAATAATTTGGGGCAGAAGAAATATTTGTCATACGTAAGTGATTTTTTAAGTCATTCTCGAAAAAAAATCAAATGAATTAGGAAAAAATTGAAAATTAACTTTTCCAACAAAAAAAACAAGTCCTAAATAAGACTAAATAAACGTAGTATAGTTTATACTCCGTATCAAAATAAAGTATTTTGTATTTGTATATTCTAGCTCAGGCAGGAATATTGGCATTGTAAAATGTTTGTCATCATATCATTTCATTTTAGAGTACTTATTAGTATTATATGTTAGAGTTGTTTGACATTAGAAATTGAGAATGGCATATTTTTATATACAATATTAAAAGTTTTATATGGTATATATTCAAAGTATGTTAGTTCTAGTTAGATTTTTTATTTTTTCATATTCCCTGTGTTTCAAAATTAAAGACAAATTCATTATTTATATGATTAATTTTTATTGAGTTTCTTTTTGCATATTTTCAACATGTCATCTCTATTTTCATACTTTGTACATTGTTTACGAAGTTTGACTAAAATTAATTTTAATTCTTATTTGAAAATTTGTATGTAATTAAAACCTAAAATTTATATGTTTAAAGTTACATAAAGATTTTATAAAATAGAAGGTGATGAGACCATATTATTTTATCAAATAAATAACAAAAATTGATAAAGAAAATGATTAAAATTTAATCATGTGAATCGTACACAGATAACTTAAATTGGGATGAAGGGAGTACGTATATATTTTGATGTAATTTTTAAAGATACATTTTTGTTGGTGCAAAAAAAGACAATTTTATTTTTAATTCTTTATCAATCTTGAAATAAAATGAATTAAAAAATAACTTAAAGGATATTTTTGTATAGTATTGTATATTGTATGGTGACTCTCTTCTATCAAAAATAACTTCTCGTATATTTTTGTCTCAACTTTTTAATATTCTTTTAGAGAATTTTCAATTCCATAATACTCCGTACCAGTATTCAGAAATTCGAATCTAATAAAATTGTTACTATGAAAAAAACTTATCGGAAACACATCATACTCTCTTCTCGATCCAACACGAGATAAAATTATACTCCATATTATTATCTACCAACATTTAATTAAGAAATTATGCACATCTTTATAATAATATCACAAAATGGAAGAAATTTGCAATGAGATAAATACCTTATTAGAAACAAAACATGTTCTATATATCAAAACAAAACCTTCAATACTATTAATTAGTACTCGTGCCAAAAAAGGACTTTATTTGGATTTAAAAAAAAATATCTCTAGCTATCAAAAGTTTCTTGCAATATTACATTTACTTTAACTAAAAAGAGATGGGAAAATATTACGGAGTATGTATGACTAACACGATTGATAATGAACAATATGTTCCTAATCTTTACTTCAAACTGAGTGCTATTTTCTTTGACACAAATGTACAAAATCTTGAAAGGAGAAAAAAAGTGATGGCAAAATTAGGGTATAAAATGTGAATAGTTGTTGCTGCATGTGTTGCACGGATTCTTCAAATAAGTGTCGCTTTCTGTCCCCAAACGTTTGTGTCTGGCTATATGAAGACGCTCTGACACTCAAATCTTTTCCTAAGATTTGGAAAAGTTACGTTAACCCCGACCCCGCTCCAGTATAAGTACCCACCCCCATCGCTGTTGGGGCCCGCGGGATTAGGCTAGCTTGCCGTGCTTATCAGAGGCTTCAGAACGAGGAGAAGAAGACAGGTTCCTAGAGCTATCATAGGACTGATGGCTGTGAGTTTCTGATGATGTTTCTGACTCTCCATCTGTCCACACAAGAAAACACATGGGAAAATAAACAACAAGAGATACTTAGTCATGTCCTAACCAAAAGGGTACACATGGAAGAACAAATCTTGAATGGAAAATACTAATTTAACCTCAGGGATGACACCAATCTTGAATGGAAAATACTTATTTAGAAGGTACCCAAAGCATATATATTCATGTGTGTGTGTGTGTGGGG